TGTGTGTGTGTGTGTGTGTGTGTGTGTGTGTTTCCAGAAGAATCAAAGCAGGCTCACACTGGGTCAGATTAACAGTCATTAAACGAAAAAGAAATAAATAAAAAGTTAAAAATAGAGGGAGTGTGTTCTAACGAATGGGGAAAGTAACCCTTATAATCAGACTGTCATCTTAAAAAAGAAACATTTCCTCGCTTCACACCTGATTCAAACAGAAAACTTCTTCCCTACTTTTGAAAAAAAACAATTCCACCTCAATCCACACTTTCAAAGAAGTACCCGGCTTTCTGCCTGATTCTTCCACAGTCCCCTCGAACCTCTGGGAAGTTAAAAGGATGGTTCACCGTGTTATTCTTCCCACTAAAGCCAAGTGCCAATTTCAACTCAAACTTGTCATAGTGGGTTCAGAAAACAATGACACACTTCAGCTATCAACCCCCCCCCAGATAGTAAAAGATTTCGCCCAATTTAGGGGACCTGAACGTGTGTGATATGGCTGGCTGATGCTGCTCTCCGCCCTGGCAGGTGGCCCCCAGATACAAGCCCCACCCGACGCCGGCGGTGGGAGGGCAAGCGTCCAGCGCCTTTACCCATCTCTGAGCCCTCCCCTGCCAAGGCTGCTTCTAGATCGATTTTCTGGGGGTGCAGCAGAATTCGGACAGCCCTGCTCACACACATCCTCGGGAGAGCGGGGGCAACTTAGCCTGGTCTGCAGCAGCCCGGCTGACCCTGCACTAGCGGACGGTGTGGGGCAGGGAAAACAAGTCGCGCGTGCAAGACTCCAGTGTGCGAATACATGTACAACTCACTTCCCGAGGAGCAGAAACACACACGCGCGAGTCCATTGGTGGAGGGCGGACAGAAAGCAAGGGGCGGGCGTCGCGAACACAATTGCGATCCTCAGTCTGGACTCAGTGTCCAGCGCGACTGGACCACCACTCAGAAATCAAGTTTCTGCGCAGCAACGAGCTGCTTCCGATTTCAAAGTAATGAGTGTAAGAGTAATAATGAAAATAATAAGAATAAAGTCCTGGGAGGTGGGAGATGGCGGGGCGGCACGGGGGCACTCTGCAGGAGGGTGACTCCCACCCTGAGCACAGCGGTACCCGCGCCCCCGCCCCCGCCGCTTCCTCTGCTCTCCCAGCCCCTTCCCCCACGTGGGGGTGACGTCAAAATTCCGCGAAAAAGCCGCGTGGTAGCTCCCCAAGCGGAGGCGCGAGCCCGCCGCCCAGCGGTCCCCTCCCGCGTGCGGCCGGGGAAGGGCGCGGGCCCCTCAGGGCCGGTTCCTTTTCCTCCCAGGAACCCGGGGCCCCCAGCCTCCACAAAAGGAGGCGCCCCCCGCCCCAAATCCCATTGGAAAATTCACTTTTAGAAAGCAGAAGCATTTTCACTGCTATTTTCGGCCGCGGAGGCGTGTCCTGAAGCTGAATCAGACAGGAAGAGGGGGAAGTGCGGGACTTGACTTCTCCGAGGGAGGGGTGCCGGGCGGGTGAGCCCACAGCAGGCGCGCGCCTGCCCCACCCGCGCCCCCCTCCTGCTGCTCCGGGGCCGCTCCTGTCCCGCTCTGCGCTGCGCCCAGGCCCCGGTGTCCGCGTTGGACCCGCGCGTCCCCGGCCTCCTTCGGCCCTCGTGCTCTCCTCTTCCTCGCTTTCCCCTCTTCTCCTTTCTCTCGCTGTTCCACTTTGCTTTTACTTCCTCCCGCTTAGTCCTGCGCCGCCGCCTCTCACTTGGCCTCTACTGTTAAATAACCGTCGGGTTTTCGGTGTTGGCGGTGAGACCAACCACCTCTCCATCAAGAAACACAAGCACAGCCCCATTCCTTGGGGTTCCTAGGGGAGAGCGACGCTCCCATTACCCTCATTCCGGACTTGACACCAGTCCCCCACCTCCCGACTAGAGCGCTCGGCGGGCGGAGGCGCAGGCTCGAACTCTTGCGCCTCCAGCTGGGAGCGACCGCCGGATACCCAGGCTGCAGCCTCCACAGGTGAGCTTAGCAGTGTGTGTGCTTAGCCTTGCAGAAATGCACTTATAAACATCCAGAACCCGGCTGCACCCTACACCTACAGGGTTTTGTACACTTTCCAACCGAAACTGCAAAACGTAAGGGGTTGGGGGTGGGGAGCCGGCTCGACAGGGAATAAAAGTCCAATAAAATTTGTATTCGCTCAAGTTTGTCCCCGATTCTACAAAGGCCACTTTTTCCCCTTGGGGAAAAAAAAATCAGGATAAAGGACCCCCACCCCCACCCCACCTAAGTGCTCAGATCACTGACACTCGCACTTTCTCTTCAGAGCTAACGTGCGCATTGGCCCAGCAGGCAGCGCGCCTGCTCCCGCGTGCTAGGTGGAGCGCTCTTTTACACGACAGGAAGGTCCCAGCCTCCCGGAGACATCCTGCCAACCCCCGCACCCACTCATGCCCCACCCCAAGTGCTGGGCCTAGGAAGTGGCTCGCTGTGGATTCGATGTGCGGCTTCGTGGGAAGCACTGCGTCCTGGGAAGAGGAAATTAATGGGGACCGAAAAGGGTGCCCGGCCATGCGGGAGGCGCCCTTCCCTGGCCCGCCACCTCTCCCCACCTCCTCAGTCCCCTCCTTCTGGAATTTCCCCGTGCGCAAGGACAGGGGGAGGGGAGTTAAGGAGAGGGGGCGAGAGGCCTGGTTCGCTGCTCCGGGACGCGCCACCCAGGCTGCCTGTGCCGGTGGGCGAGCCGGGGACGACCACCCGCCTCTTCCCCGCCCCCGGCGTCGACAACCCGGGCTAGGGATGCTATCCTGGAGGGAGGTCGTGCTCGGTTAATTATCCAGTGATGGGAACCTGAGATCTTCCCCTGTCGAGTTAGATCTAGGCTTTAAAAATAGACTCTTACCCCTACTCTTCTCCCCTCTCCCCTGCAGCTGCCTCGGATCCGCTCAAAGGTAGCCAGGGTAAATTTGAGTAATGCTTTTACGAGGTCTTAAAATGTAAGTTCTAGTCTGTGTCCAGGATGACTCAAAAGCTACAAGTAGGGAAGTCCGACTCAAGTCCGCAAGGATGAGCACGGTACCCAACCCGAGTGGCATCCGCAGCGCAGGCTGCACTGTTTCATTTTGAGTCTGCGACGCGGGCTTGTCAGTGCGTTTTTTCTTTTTCTTCTTCTCGAAAGCTAATGGCTTCCACAGCAATTAAACATTTTCCTCGCCTGCCCCTTCCCTCCCCTTTCTTTACATATAGGAGATTGGATACTAATTCCCGCTGCCATTGATAAGGCCCGGGGCGCCCCGGCTGCTCCCGGGTCCTTGCCCGCCTCAGTCCCCTCTCCCTCCGCCCTCCCTTGGCTTCCTTTTGATGTAGCGGAGAACGCGTCCTACAGAAAAAAAAAAAAAAAAAAAAAAAAAAAAGAAAGAAAGAAAAAAGAAAAAAAAAAAGTAATCTGCCCGGTAACAATCAGCGCGCAGTAGCAGGAGCCCCAGAGCTATTGGCTATGCAAATAGAGGGAGGGGAGACGGCGCCCCAAACTTACCCTTTTTAAAGCGATATTCTCCCTCCTCCCACCCACCCCTTCCGCCCCACCCTCGTTTAAAGGGGCTGGCCCCTGGGCCCATAGCTTGCACCTCTGGTTTGTTCCTCCCCTCCGCTGCCTTTCAGGGAACCCGGCACCACTCGCCCGGCCCAGCCCCCTCCCGGTCCCACTGCGCCCGGGCCCTTGGAGTCCCTGCACGCGCCCCCTTCCCGGACCGAGAGGTGCTCGGTCTGACTCCGTGCGCCCTGAGCGCACGGCCCACGCCGTGCCCGTCGCACGTGCCAACCCGGCCTGCGCCCGACTCCGGGATCGCTGGGCCCTGTCCCCTTCCTCACGTGGAACAACTCTCAAAGGCGGAGTGGCGGGGTGGAGGGAGGTGGTGAGAAAACGCCACTGGGTCCTGGCTAAAAACAGCCTTGACCCCAGGATGCGTTAGAGCACGTGTAAGGGCCGACTGCGCAATCGAAAGCCCTGGCGGGTGGAGAAGGCTCGAACTCGTAGGGGTAGGCGAGGATCCTGGGCTCAGGGCCGAGGGGGAGCCTTGGGCCTCTGGGGGAAGGAAGGGGTGCGTGGCGTGCGCTGAGGGGGGGCTCTCCCTCCCCCTCCAGGCTGTTTCCTAGAAAGCTCTATCAGTGCGGCCACGCTTGGCGCAGACGCGTCGCGGGCTTGTCAGCAGATGCAGTGGCAAGGAAGAGGCTTTTGAACCACTGGTAGCCGGCCCCGGCCTGTGGCAGCCCTGCGCGTCTCGACAGGTCGCCCAGGGTCGCCCCCAAAAACATGCTCCATACTGCTCCAGGGCCACATCCTATCAAAGCAGAGGACCACCCTGGGCACACACCCCCATTCCTCTTCTTCCTCTCCCTGCACGTGCGGGGTGGGGGGGGCAGAGGACGATGTCCGATCCCTCTGTTGGGGCTAGAGAAACTGCTTTTTAGTCGTCAGGAACCTAAACTTAAGGGACATACCAATTCTGGGTGTGCGAGGCGTCTGTCCCCCCCCCCCCCCGGCCCCGGCCCCGGCCCCGGCCCCCATTTTTCACTTAAGAGATCTGTTTCTACATTGCTCTTCCTGGTCTTCAAGTCATCTACCCTCCACTCCTGGATCTTGAACACGTGGGACAGGAATATTACGGTCCAACTGAAGGAGCCCATGTCGGAGGGTCGTACTGCAGAGTGGGGCACCTAAGAGAATGTGCAAAATGAGATGGAATCAATAGGACCCCGCGGGTTTTGTGGGTTCCCCTATCGGGGCCCCTGGCATGCGGGGCTGGATGCAGGGAGAAGGCCTTGGAGAGCGCGGGAGGGGTGAGGAGCGGAGGACCGCGTTTGAAGTTCGGTCGGGCCAGCTGCTGTTCTCCGTAATAACAAGAGGGGAAAGGAGGGAGGGAGAGATTGAAAGGAGAAGGGGAGGGGAGAAAAGGGGAGGAGGAACCCGGGAGGGGAGCGGGGCCGAGGGAGGAGACCTAACTGCTCGGCCAGCTTGCGTCACAGCCTCAGAGAAGAGAAGAGCGGCTGGGGAGCGCGAGGCGACTTTGAAGGGAGGACCGGCGCGGGCCAGGCTCGCCCACCGCCCAGCCCCTCCGCGCTCCCCTCTCTGCCCTCATCTTTCCCCGGAAACCCCCGATTTAGCCAAAGGAAGGAGGCAAGGGGAACCTTTCCCCTCGTCATCCGGAAAAAAAAAAAAAAAAAAAAAAAAAAGTTTTGCACCCCGGAGCACACCGAGGCGCGAGTGGTCTCCCAGCTGGCCATGGAGCTATTGTGCTGCGAGGTGGACCCTGTGCGCAGGGCCGTGCCGGACCGCAACCTGCTGGACGACCGGGTCCTGCAGAATCTGCTCACTATAGAGGAGCGCTACCTCCCTCAGTGTTCCTACTTCAAATGTGTGCAGAAGGACATCCAGCCCTACATGCGCAGGATGGTGGCCACCTGGATGCTGGAGGTAGGTGTGCAAGCGACACTCGCTGGCTGCTCCGGGCCCCGCCCCATGCAGGACCCTGACACTGCGACCAGGCGGCCCCCCGCGCACCTCCTGGCCAGCGCGCGACGTGATCCCGCGCCCTTTGGGTGGCGCGACGCGTGGCCGCATTTTGCTTAACTGGGGAAGGAAAATCTGGGAGCAACAAGGCCGTGCTGGAGCGGGGGTGGGGAGCATCCTGCGCGTGTGTGCCCGCGTGTGGCTTCCTCGTCCTCCCACCCCCATCACGACCTGACCTTTGCAGAGTCGCGACTGTTTTCCGTGCGGCGAAGAGAGAAGGAACATGAAAATTGGGACCCCCGAGTAAAAAGGCAGCCCCCCAAAAGGCCGGAGCAAAGGCGCCCTGGCCTCAGGTCCCCGCGTGTGGTCGCGACTCCGCGTTGGCACTTCAGGGAGGAGGGGGAGGGAAGAGGGAGGAGGAGAGAAACTGGGAATGCGAGAGCCCCGGAAGTCGCCTTGAAGAAGCGTGCGTTTTAGGGGAACCCTAAAGAACTCTGTACCCTGCTCGCTCTGAACTATGCGGAGTGCCCACGTAGACACAGCTCAGGACCTGCCATGGTTTCGCCATGTTGCTTTGCAAAGTCCAGTTGGAAAGTCTGGACGTCTCTCCTCGCTCTCCTCTCACCCCGTTATCCCAGTTCCCCCGCTTCTAACCGTGCCCTTTCCCCCAGCCCCCAAGTCTCTGAGGTTACTTACAGTGTGGCCTTCGCGAGCTTCCTCTGTGCGTAGATCTGGGTGGGGTACGGGGGGAGGTGTGTGCCCGGGAAAGTCGGGGTACCCCTAAATGGGAAGTGGGAGCCCCCGAGAGCTCTGGAGGACCCCCGCACCCGCCTCATCCCTGTCGACCGCGCGCGCCCTCACTCCGGTGTGGGCCGCGGCCGGACGCTCCCGCGCGGCTTCACCCTACGCGCTTCCCCTGGGTTCCGAAGCCCCAGAGGCTGAGATACAGACCTCCCAGCCCCTGAAACCTCCGTTTCCGGGAGTCGAGATCCTTCTTGGGGTTTTCATGCTGAAAGTGCTCTGCTGGGATATTTCTTCGATTTTTAATTATTTTTTGAAAGCTTCCCCCCTGCTCCGCGGCGTCCGCGGTCGCAGCGCTCTTCCTCCCCTCTCCCTCCCCCTCTGCCTCTCTCTGCCCTCCCACCCCCCCAACAGCGGCCCCTGGGCCCCGGGGACCCCCCGGACAATTTTTCCAATTGTCGGGAATGATAGAGCAGGGTCTGAGGGTCCGGATGAGCCCAAGAAGTAGACCTCTCGAGCCTCCAGAATATTTTTATTGATTTTTTGAAAAGATGACGAAATCCAAAAAAGAGTGAGTGAGTTAGAGTGCGCCGAGGAGGGAGCGGCGCGGCAGAGCGTGGGGCGCTGCGCTCCGCCTGCCTGGGGTCGGGGCCCTCAGTTGCTACCCTCTTTGACCCGGTGGACCACCCAAGCACTGACTAGCTGCTTGGTGCACCCAAGTTTTTGCATCTTTTGTTGTTTTTCACTCTGTACTCCCCACAGACTGCTTTTTGTCCCCGTACGTGGTGCTTTTCATCCTGTTTCTACCTTTGGATGCTGTTTTCACTCTGCTCGGACCTTTCCCACTCCTCTTGTAGGTCTGTGAGGAACAGAAGTGTGAGGAGGAAGTCTTCCCTTTGGCCATGAATTACCTGGACCGCTTCTTAGCCGGGGTCCCCACCCCGAAGACTCACCTGCAGCTCCTGGGTGCCGTCTGCATGTTCCTGGCTTCCAAGCTCAAAGAGACCATCCCGCTGACCGCGGAGAAGCTGTGCATTTACACAGACAACTCCATCAAGCCCCAGGAGCTGCTGGTAAAGACGCCCCCCCTCTGTCCCCTCTCAGCCTCATACTGGCCTCCCAAGCCTAATTCAGGATCCGGAATCACCCCACCGCTGAAATTTGCACACTGCTAACAGACATGCCCCAGAATAGGCAAGAACTGTTATTTACGTTCCTACTATGTGCCAGCCAGTGAGCAAAGCACTCAGGCTTACAACCATGAACAAGCTACTTTTGAAGTTTGTGGTGGCTACGTTCATTGCACGCATTCATGCACACATGGGGGGGTGGGGTCGTGGAGCACATTAATTACTATCGCTAATATTTTAGTATCCACAATTTCAAAACTGAACTCTAGAAAATAGTCAGACTTCTCATGAGAGGAGTGTGTTCTCCTGATAGGAATACGTTGTGTGTCTCTTAGGCACCTAACAGTCACAGGCAGCATCTTTATAAATCAATAAAGTCTGGAGATACCAACACATAGTAGCTGATCACGGAATAGAATTACACAAACTTTTGAATAAAACCAAAATTTGGCTTTTTATTGGAAGAGCCAGAAAGCTGAGTTTCTAACTGTGGGGTGCCTTTGATCTCTCTATCCCTCTAAGTCCTGTCTTGGTTCTAGTTTTGTGTCTGGGACCCCCCCACCCCCATCTTTTTCCCTTGCGGCTTTGTCCATAGGATGAGCATAGCCCCGCAGGCCTGGGTTGGTAGAGAGGTCTCCAGGCCATCTTCCATGGTTTGCACACCTTCTCTGCACTGGTTAGGAAAGCCCTCCCCCTCCTCCCCATCCCCCCTACCTTCACCCCTCTCACAGCTGAGCCAGGGCCGGGGCCTGCAGAAAGTGCAGCGGGCTGGACTGGCTTCTTGAACTGAGCTCTTTGTGAAGTGCCTTCTTTCTGGGTCTGTGCTGCCATCTAGTGGCAGACATGCGCAAGGCCGGGGAGGAATCACCGAGAATGTAGAGGGGGCATGAATGACTTCACCTTTGAACTACTGCCAGATTTCTGCTGCCTCTGGTTTGGCCCAGGAGGCCCGGAAAGGTGCTTTCTTCTGGGAGATCTGCTTCCTTTAATAATGGTGCAGCACGGATGCTTAGTACAGTGCTCACATTCCCGGGGTTGAACCCTAGGCTGGGGTTTCCAGCTGTCTTTGAAGACGCTGCTTGTTGCATAGTGGATCTGGAGTTTTTACTCCATTGCTCTGCAAAACCCGGGACAGACTTAAAAGCATGGGTTGGTTTTTTTTTTTAAAGTGTGTTTTCTCATGAAAGAACAGAAAAAAGAAACATTGGTTCATAGTGCTTCAATGGGACGGTGAACTAGAGATATTCAGACAACCCACTTCTTCCAGGAACAGCCAGGCTCATTTATACTGCTCCAAACAATCCTGCCCATTTCCATCTCTCATCTCTTTATCCCAGACCTGTGACTTGGAAGGGTCCTTCTGCCAGCTGAGGTTTAGCATCTGTCCTCAGCTTTGCAATAAATGAGATGAGGCTGCTTAGGATGAATCAGAGCAGGGTGTGAGGCTGTGAAGGTCTCAGCCTTTCCTCTGAAGATAGTGATTGATAGGCATATTTTTGCTCTGATTGTGCACAATGGCTCACAAGAAGGAGAGAATTAAGGTGAATCACGAGCTTAGCTGCTGGTCCACATGAGAGTGCTGCATGGTCCCAAGTTTGACTAAGGGGTGCTGAGACCCCAAGCAAGCATACCCCCTTCGCCCCAAGTCAGCTCTATATGCCAAGCATGCTTGCCAGTGACCATTTCAGTCCTTCGTCATGACGGCAGAGGTCTATGAAACACTGAGGGGAATGTGCTGAGTATCACATCTCTGAGATTTCTGCATGATACGTTAAGAGGAAAATTCTAGCAGCAGAGAGAAAAATGGCACCTTTTTGGCACCAAATAAAAGTCAGCTAATTGGTTGCCAAGGAGTTGGGCTTATTTTGCATTTTATCTGCATACACCATTTTTCCATGAGGATTAAAAAGACCATCAGTAACGGAGACATATACAATACATAGCTACCAAAAGGTCGCAGTGACCGTGGCCATATCATTGCGGGTCCAGCTTTCTGGGTGGGCAGGCTGCAGTGTTTCATGGAATTCAGGGTCGGGTGGGGCTGCTGGAGCTAGAGAGGAAAAGAAACAGAAAAAGTTAGAATCTTGGCAATAGCTACCTGGACCCTCAGCAGTCTTAGGGGAGCCTCACCTCACCTCACGTCGCAAGAAGAGTATCAACTTCAAAGTGTCAGGGGCACAGGGACCAACGAGCCCACCTTCCAGTTCAGAAGCCTCATTCCAGTGAGCAGTATTAGGGCTGGTGTGGCTCCTCAGCTGTGGGTTTTATACTCTTCTGTCTCCCTGGCCAGGAGTGGGAGCTGGTGGTGTTGGGCAAGTTGAAGTGGAACCTGGCTGCAGTCACCCCACACGACTTCATCGAGCACATCCTTCGCAAGCTGCCGCAGCAGAGGGAGAAGCTGTCCCTGATCCGCAAGCATGCGCAGACCTTCATCGCTCTGTGCGCTACAGGTGAGAGCAGGCAGGAGAGCAGAGGTTCCTGGGGCTGGGGTTCCTGAGAGACAGTTTTGATACTCAGGGAGGGGGCAGTCCTAAGTAATCTAGAGTCCTAGGTTTCATTCCTGGGTTGTTTGTTCTTAAACTTTATCAAAGCTGGTGTATTCTTTCGCGCTGCTAAACCCATAAATGGTTTATGGGGACAGGTGTGGTAAAGGGAAAAAAATTAGTGCCTGTTAAAATGTTCTTTATGATGTCTAAAGTGCTCTTTGAAGATTATATATACTGCTTACCGATTGTATATAAATCTTTAATCTTTTAAGGAAAAGGATAGCTTGGAGATAAGCCCAAGAGGAAATGTAAGGGCTGGGGCAAATATAGGTTGAAGGAATAACATCAAGAGAAGTATGTTGCTTTCCTGATAAGTGGAAGGGAGCAGAAAGGCATTCTTTTTCCTGTAGGCTGTTTATTGCCTTCTTGCTGCTCCCTTTGCTGGGTGGGAGGGGACCTGGCGCCTCTCAGGAAGGATTTGCCCTCTAAGCCCGGGTCCTCCCTGCGTTCATGTCACTGCCAAAGGCCTCCTGTCAGTTTCAGCTTCAGCCTTTAACATAATAGTTGCTTTTTCCTGTTAAACACTTTGCACCCACAGCAGGGATCCCACGTTGATACATAGTTGTTGTTTGCCCATTCCTTTTGCATTTTCCTAATTAACTAAAAGCAATGGTTTGACAACATCTCACTAGAGTGAACCTTGATTGGTTGATCACAGCCAGGTGGGAGGCCCCCTAGACCTTAATGACCCAGGACAGAGGTGTCAGGAGTTCATATTCTCACAATTAGAAAAGTAAAGAAGTAGCTATCTGGGGAGACCACTTGGGGTGATTCAAGTTTATTGCCCAGGGATAGGGGGAGGGATTAACTTCAACACCTTGTTACATGTTCATAAATAGGATAGGTGATTACAAGATGTTTAGCAGTGTATATGCTATTTGTTTACTTAGTGACCCCTCGGTGACCTAGCACCAGGTGCTTAACCTCTTCAACTTCATTGTTACAAACCATCCTACATTAGCATTATGGTTAGGAAGATTAAAATCAGAAAGGACGTACACACCAGGGATTTGTAAATCAGATGTGTAGGAAAATTCCATGGTACTGTGAAAAAGCTGCCCACCATCTCAGCTTTTTAGCTGCTCCAGCTAAGGTAGCTTCGAGGACTTGCCTTTTCCAGCAGGGCTGTGGGCTCCACATTTACGTGCTGGCTCAATGTAGGATTCCCATCGTCCTCCTTGTGGGTGCAAAGGCCAGGTCTTCCTTGTGGCCTTCTTCAGTCCTGCCCATGCAAACTCTGTTGGGCCTCACGGTGCGCACGCGCCACTGCCCCTCTGGTGTCCTGCGGCTGCGGGGCAGCAGCCTGTGGAGGCCCCTCAGCCTTTGCTGCCTTTGGCACGCAGTCATTCTTTGCTTCCTTCCCTTCTGCTGTCTGGCCAGGGCTGAGAGGTCAGTCCCTTGTTGACCTGTCACTTTGCCTCCCAGGCCTGGCAGTGGGGGAGGGGTCAGCCAGTCCTTTCTCTCTGGCCCTAGGGCAGCTGACCCCCAGCCCTGGACTTCCTCATTGCCCAGCTGTTGATGGCCAGCGTTCTGCTTTGGCCTTGTCTTTTGACTGACAGATCTTTTGGGGTCTGCTCGCCCTTCTCTCCTTTCTAATCTTGAGGGTGCTAGGTGGACTTACCCAGGCATGGAAGGACCCCCCAAATTCTGCATTGAGCAGAGGCCCATTCTGGGATCTTAGGATCCCATCCCCCGCTCTTGGCCTTCTTGCCCAGATCCTTGGGGTGGCTGCCAACTCTGGGGCCAGGATCGGGAGCCTGAGATTCAGAGACTGAGGACAGAGGTCCAAAGGGAGGCGGAGCCACCATGAGGGCGGCCTTTTGGGGGCAGTGAGCTAGCCATGGGCAGGAGGTAGGGAAGGGTAGGAGAAAGTGCACCTCCAGTCCCATCTGAGCAGGTGCCAAGTCCTAGTCCCATGGTACATGCTGCTCAGAGCTGAGGAAAAGGAAGAGGCCCGTCTTTCAGGGCATTTTCTCCCCCATCTGCGTGTAGATTTGTACAGATTTGAGCCAATTGAGTCTCTGCTGCCTGAAGGTCTCCTCAGTAGTCTGAGGACAGTCCATAAATACCAAAGGCTGTTTATCTTGGAAGACACCCCTCCCGGAAAAGCGAGCTTCCCCGTCACAGGGCCAGAGGCGATGAGGTGAGTGCCTGGGGCACGTCTGGCCAGTAGCAGGTGCAGGCTGGTCCGAGATTGGCAGGAAAGAGACCATACCCTCTGCCTCTGCCCCTCCCACGGGTGTCTCTAGAGGCTCTGCAGCCAGGCCCTCGGGGCCCACAGTAGGGTGCAGGGGTAGGGGAGTCCAGAAGAGATGGTAGGTAGCCAGGCCTCAGGCTGCAGGGCTGTTTTATAGGAAAAGCTGGTTGTGAAAGAGCTGGCAGAGGTTTCTCAGTGTGCAGAGAGCAATGTATGTGAAAGGGGAGAGTAGAGTGGGCCTGGAAGCGTCGCCCTTGTCAGGCTGCCTTGGTTGGGCTCGGGTGAGATGGTGGCAGGGAGAGAGGTGGCCCTAAGATGGCTTCCGGGGAAGAGAGCCTCAAACTGCCCGCTGGCCCTCTCCTGCCCCGTGCTAGGCTATGGAGGCTGCTTGGGCGTGAGGGTCTTCCAGCTGTGGCAGGGAAGCAGAGCTTTAGTTCCCCCAGCAGCAGATGCCAAGAGAGGACTGGCTGTAGTGTTCAGGGTCAGACTCAGCATTGGGAGCTCCCTCGCCCTCATGTCAGGCCCAGCCAGTGATGCCCGTCAGCTCCCACGATGCCCAGGATCTCATATTTAAACTTGGAGCAGAAGAGGAGGTCCATCCCTGCTGAGCACCCTGCTTTTGCCCCTCTCTGTGCTGGGAGCTGCTGTGAAGTGTGGCACCTGCCTGTGTTACACACCAAGGTGGCCCAGACATCCCCCTACCCTGAGGCTAGCACCTCAGGTGTGACTAGAGGCCTTTGGTCTCCCCAGTCGTCTTTAAGCACTGACCTGTGGGGATGCTGGTGTACAGACAGTAGCGCCAGCGCCTCCCTTCTGTGACAGCGAGGTGAATGAATGCCGCTCCCCTCCTCCTCCTCCTGACATTAGCATTTATAATATTGTGGCCTTGGCCTTCCTGCCTGGGCCCCAAGAGGCCGGGGTTGTTGGGAATGGAAGATGCATGTGTGCGCCAAATGATGTCATCTGTCAGTCAGGGAGCACCCTGGGTTTGGCCCTTGAACTTCCACCTGGCTGCAGGTTGGAGGAAAAGAGGGCACAGTCCTGGGTCTCCTCTACCTGGTGGACAGGAGCGAGGCAGCTACGCCACAGCCAGGCATCAGTGCTGAGCTGGCTGTGCAGGGCTATGGCATAGGTGACTTTAACTCTGTAGAACCCAGAAAATATTACCAAGCAGTGCAGACAATGTGGAGTGCTTCTCATGGGCCTTGCTCAGATTAGGGAATCCCCTGGAGCCATGGGGCTCCTTGGACATCTTGGGGCAGCTGAGCAACTCATGCAAGGCCACAGAGCCTGCAGGTCCCATGGCCAGGGTTGGGCTCTTCCTGGGGTCTTCTCTGCTTTTGGGCCTTGCAGTCCTAGTGTCCTGTCGGGGCTACCTTGAGCTCTCCAGCTTGTGGTGAGTTACGCAGTTCTTCTCTGTGTGAGTCCAAAAGTCTATTTTAACCTGAGGCCCCACACTCATATGGAGGGATGTGGCATAGGAGCTTCCCTTCATGTGCAAAAGAAGGTGTTTGAAAGTAGGGATTTTAGGTTCCTTTTGCCTTAGTACTGTACCACAGCCCTCCCCAGCTGCTCTGGGCACTGGGTGACTTCCGGGTGTGACTGCACTACTCTGTTCCTGCCAGTGTCTGTCTGCCCTTCCTCGTGTGTGCTCCTTCCATTCCCTGTGCACCCTCCCACTTGGGAGGACAAAACAGCAGGAAACTTGGGAAGGCTCATAATGGCCGTTTCTGGGCCACAGATGCGGGGTAGTGGGAGGTGCTCTGGGAAGCGGACCCCATACCCCTCCCTGTGCTCAGCATGGCCGCGCCTTACTCACCCTGAGGAGACGCCAGGGGTGTCTGCAGCACTGGGCCTGCCCTTCAAAACCTGCAGGGAGGTAGGGGTAAGAGGAGTCAGCAGTGGTGAGGATGACACTCTGCTTGCCGAGAGCTGGGCTCTGCATGTCTGGGGGCTGTTTTAACTCATCTCAAAAGGACAGGCACCACGCAGGGCATGTCACTGTGACTGTTTGAACAGGTGTGAACAGCACCTCTAGGAGCTCCCCCTGTAGTATACACCTCAGCACTGAGAACACACCATGCTGCGTAGCGCAATTTTATTTTACATTCTGGTGTGAGCGGGAGATAATCCATGCAACCTGGAATCTGGACTAAGGGAATACATTGTAAAGACAGATCATGACACACTCTCCCCCACTGGACGCCCCTCTATATTTTCTTAGGACATTGTTATACAAAGGAAACTCTTAACACTTCCACATTTACATGCTCAGGCATCCTTATCTGTCTTGAAACTGGAGTTCTGGGCAGCCCCACCTATGCCTGTTGGCTCCATCTCCCACGTAGAACTTGGTTTCTCTACCACAGGCCGACAGGGCTTCCTGGACAGAGGCCTGTGGCCCAGGGATGGGGAAGCTGGCACTCTGAGGGCCTAGGGCCAAGGGCTGGCTGCATCGCACCATGAATATCATCAGGGGAGGTTACTGGGCAGAGACCAGAACTATGCCCTCCTGCGACCCATGTGGAAGAGACCTACAGCAGAGTGGGAGCAGGAGACCTGACTCTTACACAGTCGCAGGGGTGGCAGCAGCGCAGGCAGGGACAGAAGACGGCAGGTGTTGGGGGCAGCACCATAAACCCGGCCCTCCAGGTGGAATTGGCAAGTGGCAGAATAAGAGAAGCCAGGGAGGAACAGACGGCCAGGCCGCTTGGTGTTTCTGGGAGTCAGCCGAGATGGGCGGGGAGGGCTGTGTGTGGCTCAGGGACCTACGGGGTTTCCAGGATACCACAGGCTTAACGCTGGGCAACAGGCTCCACACTGAAAGTGCTTCCATAACTGGCGTGGTGATGCATGCCTGTAATCCTGGCTACTTGAGAGGCCGAAGTGGGAGGATCACAAGTTCTGTGCCAGCCAGTGCAGTTTAGGGAGACCCTCATCACAAAATTAAAAAAAATTTGGGGATGCGGCTCAGTAATAGAGCATCCCAGAATTCAATCTCTAGTACCAGGGTGGTGGTGGGGGGGGGGGGCTTCCAGAGTGTATGTTTTTTTTAACAGGACATTGTATAGAAAGAAGGAGAAGTAGTACAGTGAGCTGGATTGTGTGGGTTTAGCCCAATATTTTTGTTATAAATTGGAGTGTGTCTCATCTCCCCTCATGCGTGCATCTTCCATTTCTGCATCTGGCAAATTCCTTCAAGTCCCCTGCAGCTAAAGATACGTGCGGAAGATTTACTGCTGTCCAGAACTCCCCCTAGGATCAGGAGAGGAGAAACTGCGACCTCTGTAACCCCTCAGCAGCATGAGGGACAACTTAGACGCTCAGCCTCAGGTCTCCTGTGCACCACATTAGGGTAGTGGACCCTACACAGGGTGTGATTGAAAATACAGTGACTCTTTATATTTTTTCAGGAAAAGACATAGTCATTGTTCTCCCCTCAGAATACTCGCCATCACTTTAAGCACACTTGTTTCATTGTTCTTACCACTTTCTGAAGCAGTTCTAGAAGTGTCTTTGTCCACTGTCTTTATTTGCACTGTCCTGGCTGTCTCAGTGTCCTGAAACCATCTAAAACATTTACCTTTCACTGTCACTTTGCTTTGGGGAAGAGCCTGAGGTCACAGGGGCCAGATCTGGTGAAGAAGATGATGTGACCACACCACCATGTTTCGCAGCCTTTCTGTTGTGTTGAACTGGACAGCAACACTCACTGTATTTTCAGTCACACCTCATAGAGACAGAAGAAGATATCCAGGACTTCAGAAAGTGGCAGGAATGCCCCAATAAGTGTGCCCAAAGGGAAGGGGGCTGTTTTGAGGGAGATTAATGACAATATGTTTTGTAATGTAATATATTCTTGGAGTTGAAACAGTCAGTATAGTTTTCCATTACCACTTTTGTGGCTGGGGCATGAGTGACATAGGATAGAATTGTGAGATCCCTTGCATGTTGGTGACAATGCAGCAGCTCTGCTCTGATGCTTCACTAGGTTCTGTCCTGTGTCATAATGTCCACAGGGTCCTTGACGTGGCCTTGGAGTTGATAGTGGTGTGAAACCCTGCCTCCTTTCCCTGTGCTGGTGCTACATGGACTTTGTTGTTGTGTCTAGAACATTTTGGGGATCCAGTTAGTGTTGGGTGCCAATCTAGAGACTACAGCAAGATCACAGCAGGGCAGTTGTTCTTTGTATAATGCTGCCTGAGTTCCCCACTTGCATGCCATGGGGTCCCCTCCCCCTGACAGCCTCAGACCTCCTCTGATCTGTTCCATCACCCTGACCTTGCTGTCTCTGCTGGGACAAGAGTAGTCCTTTACATGTGACTGTGGGACCCAGAGGGCCAGGACCTTGAGCCATCTGTGATTCACTGTGGACACTGAGATGAGCTCTTGCTTCAGTCTCTTGTTTAAAATCCCGATGATTCCTAGAGTGACCCATAAATGAAGATCTTGTCGTGTATGTACTTGAGTGAGGGGCCATGCCTGCAGCCACCCCTCCGCCTTCGTGCTGCTGGGGATCTGAAGGCTGCCAGGCTCTGAGAGCCAACCGGCTCTGAGTCCCCTGACCTCCTTGTCTGTTTCTTGCAGACTTTAAGTTCGCCATGTATCCGCCATCGATGATTGCAACTGGAAGTGTGGGAGCAGCCATCTGTGGGCTCCAGCAGGACGAGGAAGTGAGCTCGCTCACCTGTGATGCCCTGACCGAGCTGTTGGCCAAGATCACCAACACAGATGTGGTAAGTGGCAGCCGCCTTCCTGGTCAACACCAGGTGTCTTTCTCTCCCCTCCCCCCAAGAAAGACAACTGGTTTGGTACCTGTTTTTTTTTTTTTTTTTTTTTTTTTTTTGGGGTTGAACTCAGGCCCTTGCGCTTGCGAGGGAAGCGCTTATTCCACTGAGCTATCTCCCAGGCCTCTGGAACCTGCTTTCTGAGATCCATGCTTAAAGTAGTCCAGGATTAAGCAGATGAAGCTCCTTTCAAGGTAATGAAAGACTGCTCCATAAAGTGTACATCAGAGCTCAGCAAGTGAGACAAGTGGGGAGGGCTCTCCACTGATTTCCTTCTGGTGTGGGCTTCCCGGTGGGCCAGAAATCCTGCTTTGTGTCCATTACTGTCCACCTTTTGAGTGGAGAGCCTCGGATTTGCTCCCTGAAGGCAGTAGGTGCAAAGGGAGTAGTGGGCAGGCTGACACCAGGAGTCCTGGCAGGCAGCAGAGCCTCTCCAACCCTCCTGCCTCTTCCCTGTTCCTCCTTGTAATGGGTTAAAAAGCACTCTGAAAAGATAAAGTGCTGCTTGAATTCAAGACACTATTATTAGCTATTGACTTTTTCCATTCTCTGGATGGACCCGGGTGGTTGCTTCCAGTTGCCAGAATTTGGAGCTCCTTAGCAAAAAAAGCTTTTGAAACATACCAGAGTGCAGCAAGGCCCTGTCTGAGTGGTATGGTTCTGAGAGGCAGCACAGAGGACATCTAGAGGCATCCTGAGTCGAGGGCAGAGCTGGGCCCCTCTGCCTCTGAGTCCTGACTCCAGCCTGGAAGCTTCCCGTGCTTCTGCTGGAGCTCCTGGGAGCTTTTTGTTTGGAAAAGACCTTTGGTTGAAAAGCAGCTCAAGAAAGGGGTGGTGGCTCTGAAGCACTTGGGCGGCACCACAGAGAGGCTCAGGAATGCAGGGAAACTTTGAGATGACACTCTTCGGATGTTCCAGGGGAATTCAGAGTGCCCTGTGTAGGGGATTTATTGAGTTGGGGTCACGTGATGTGCAGGCTGAGGCTGCTGCCTCTGCCTCTCAGGCTGTGCCTGGAGCCCTGGGCTGTAGCTTGCTGGCTGTCTTGCCCACCCACCTGTAGTTCACCTTGGCATTTGCTGCCTGCTCAGAAGAAATGGCAGGTGTTACAGGGCCTGATGGTAAAAATCCTGGGTCCTTCACTGAACTAGTTTTTAGATAGGCTGCAAAGTCCCCTCCAGCACATCATGAAGAATTTTCTAATCCTGCTTTTCTAATCCTCCTGAGAAAAATTGTGGACAGAACTGAACATTTATAGCAGTGGTCCACTTCCTTTTCTCAGTGTCTCCTACTAAGACTGCCTTATAAGTAGGATTCCCAGCCAGTTGAAGATAGGCACTTCCTCAGCCCCTGGAGGCACGATGGCCCTGACAAGAGTTAACCCTAGGTACTGTCACCTCTTTGAGATATTTATAAACCTGCTCTTTCTGGCTGATCACCCCACCCAGTCTCTAGCCTTCTGCCACATTGCTGTCCCTGATCCCTTTCCTTGTGTCTTGGTTTTCATGATTCTCCAGCCTGTCTCTTCTACTGGAGGGACTTGTCTGCTCTTTAAGGAGACTGTGCCCCTAAAACAGTCAAGCCTACTCTGGACCCAGCTCATTGCTTAGCAATCGCAGCTATTGGGTTGGTGTTGCTGTTTTTGCAGTATGTAGCTCAGGCTGACTTCAAACTCAAGGCAATCCTCTTCAGCCTCCTCTGAGCCAGGATTATAGACATGCACCACCACAACTAGCTAAGGTACCTTATTTTCAAAAGGGGCCTCTGCCCTGCTTCTTAAGCAGAAATCCATGTCCCTGCCTTGTTCTCACAGTAGGAGTGGGAATGAACATTTCAATATTAAAACCCAAGCATGCACAGAGGTAATAGAACATAAAATTCATACCACTTGTTTAGGTAAACATTTGAGCAGTTCTGAGCCTGCTTCTGCTCCCCGGAGGCTTGCTCATGCTCCCCAGAAATATTTTCAGTGGGAGAGTTAGAGCTGATGTGGGCTGGGCCGCTCATGTGTGCGGTCTCCAGTCCATCAGCTATACTGTCCGCAGCCCTGAGGTCCAGGGCAGAGCATGGTAGGTGGGGCTGAGAACGCACTCGGATTTGACAGGAGGTGGCCTTTGCTCCATGAGCTGCATTTACCATCTCTGGAATCAAAATGTATATTTTGAGTGCTTCCCCATCCATTTCTGAGCAGACTTTCTGAAGACCTGGTTAGTGCACGCTGATGTAACATGAGGAGGCACGGAAACACTGAGGCCTGGTCCCAGGCCCTGTCTTGCGAGCTGGGTGTGGCTGGAAGGTGGGACATGGAAAGCTCTCATCAAGGAGCTGGCTGATACAGAGAATCAAAAAGAGCATTACATTTCCTGCAGATTCAGACCATAGATAAGTGAGTTCTGTATAAATGCAGTGGGCCATTCATGCAAAGGAAGGCGCTCTTGAGGCCTGATATAAAAGCAGGTCTCTTTGCAGAGTACAGCTGGTAGTAAATAATTCTCTTGGAAACAAAGTGTGGCATACATATGCATGTAGTGGGATATTATGCACTCTTGAAAAGCAAATAAAATTCTGTTACAGTGTACCTGAGACTTGGAAGTAGTGACACCAAGCCAAGTAAGCCAACCACAGCAGACAGGATGTGTGACGTACCTAGCTGGACTAGTTGGGTACAGAGGATGGAAAGTGAGAGAGCGAGACCAGTACTCCAGGGAGGGGAGGAGTTGGTGTTTAGTGGGTACTGGGTTCCTGTTTGGGAGGATGAGAAGCTCTGGAGTGCAAGAATTGTGGTGGCTGACAACTACATGGATGTGCTGACCACCAGTGGAAAATTATAAAATTTATGTCACATATCTTGTTTCAGTAACCCATGTACATATATTCTGTGTGTGTGTATGTGTGTGTGTGTGTGTGTGTGTGTGTGTGTATACCACTTCCTCATTGTCAGGTGCCTGTAAGTTGCTGGTGAGCTCTCTCTAGAAGTCAAGTATACACAGACCCCAGACCCAGTCTTGCCCCTGGCTCCCTTTCCCAGGGATCAGAACTGTAGGGCTGTCCCTAGGCCAACACCTCGCCACCCACTGCCCATGTCTCCCGCTCGCAGTGCTTATCCCCACTTCGGGCGGGCATGGGTTGTCCTGAAGCAACTATGGAGAGGGTCCCTGCAGTCGGTGCAAGACTGCCAGACAAGTCCCTACAGCTTGCTGGCCATCTGCAGTTAGCTGGGACAGAAGGGATCACGGAGCTCTGAGAAAGTGGGCTTTGCTGCTCCATGTGGTTGCCAAAGTAAACTGGAAAGCTTCATTCCAGAGAGAAAGCGAGCAAGCAGGCTGACAGTGTTTCAGGGAAGAAGAGTCTCAGAGGGTGGTGTATTTTAAGTACTTTCCCTCCCAGTCCTAATAGTTGCTAAAAACAGACAGCAGCCGGATAGGCTGGGGGGGGGGGGGGACCACTGCAGAGGCTTCCGTTGCCAAGAGTAAATCAGAGCAAAACGGATGGGCCGGCCCCTGCAGAATTGGGGTTCCCCTTCCGTCCTCAGCACTGCACTCACGCCTTGTGCCAACATTTACCTCACTGCTCACTTGTCTATAGGACCTTGAATGAGTCCCAGCTTTCATCCAGAACCGGGCACAGCCCCCAGGAGTGAGGCTGAGGGGAAGGAAGTAGGGGGAGACAAAGGGTTGCAAGTGTGCTGTCACCCATCCGCATTGGCTGGAAAGCTGTGTCGATGGCTGTAATGTATGATTTGACAGAAATTGTTATTGGGGTCCTCTGCATGTGGCCTGACTTCATCTTACATTGAGTCAATGAATTTTCATATTTAATGACACTTCACTAGTTAAGAGCAGGACTAAGAACATGTGAGGTTACTGGAAGATGTTTAGCACAAGCGATGTCAACTCTGAGTCATCTGATCATTATACTGAGCCTTTTCTATCTGGGTTGCATCAGAACTCTTGGTCACATTCTTTTTTTCTTTGAAAGGTCTTTTTTTTTTTTTTTTTTTTTTTTTGCGGAACTAGGGATTGAACTCAGGCCCTTGCGTTTGCCAGGGAAGCACTTATTCCACTGAGCCATCTCCCTGGCCCTTGGTCACATTCTTAAGCATAGCTCAGAGAAGATTCCAGAAGTCTCTTCTTCAAGGTCAGCCAGGTGTTTCAAAATCCTGCTTGTCAGGGAACCAATTGGTAGAAGAAAGCTCCCCTTGGGTCACATACTGTTCGGGTCCCCAGCACGCCTGCAGTCTCTCTCTGCTGGAAGCCTGCTACACTCTCAGCACACCTGGTGTGCCTACCCAAGGACCTTGCAAGTCTGTGGTCAGGACCCTGGAGACCCTGGTCAGGAGGGAGCTAGGGGTGGGGAGGTGGACCCTCATGCACGTCCCTGCCTGTGCCTTGCCCAGCGGCCTCATTTGTTATGCAGGGAATCCAGCCAAACAGCCTTCGAAGAAAAGAAGAATGAGATAGTTTCCTAAGTTGTCTCTGTCTAGAGTTGGCCGGGCCTGGAGCTCATTCAGCCTTTGTGCCCCTGTTGAGTGCTGTGCGTGTGTGATGACAGTGCCCGACGCGGTTACACTGGGCTCATGGTAGGAGTTCCGCCACCAGCCCATTCATGAAGCAGGGGAGGGTGCGGGGCTCAGGGCCTGAGCCAGCAAGCAGAGGAAGTCCAGCCCTTCCACCGAGCTCTAGCTGGATCACAAACACCCGACAGGACTGGGGCTGGGCTGGGGCAGGGCGGCTGTGCAGTAGGGGGAAGGGCTATGTCCTGGGGTTGGAGGGCTGCCGACCTCCAGAGCTGTGAGTGCCACCTGTCTGGCTGACAGACGAACGTTATGGCCTTCCTTTTAATCAGCTTAATTTGGAGCATCTTAGCACAAGGTCTGGTGTGATAGGCGCTTGTCGCCAGGCTGGGATTCTGGGGCCGTGGGGCCTTATGTCCTGGGCATCTCAGCCTGGGGGGCACTGTCCTTTTTCTTCTTCTGGCCACTTGGGCTGTGTCTCCCTTCCCCAGAGAGACTTTCGCCTGTGTCCTTCCTGTAGCCTGCATGATCCCGAAGCACACAGGGAGAACATTCTAAGCCTTATTTTAAGGTTTAGTTTCTCCCTTTTTGTGGTTTTGTTTTCTATTTGTTTTTTATTGTTTTGAGACAGGGTCTCACTTTGTAGCGCAGGCTGGCCTCGAACTCACCTCAGCCTTCCCAGCACTGGGATTACAGTCATGTGCCATCCTGCCTACCTAGAACAGAGCCACACTGAGGCAGATTCAGGTTGAATCCACATCACAGGAAAGAAACCAGCCACAATGGCCCTCTAGACTCCAACTCCCTGCTGGAAAAGAGGGTATTTGATGGTTCTGCCCCTGGCTTCAGTGCAGCTGCAGCAGCAGTAGTGTGGCTGGGTTGGATGCAGGGGTAGCGGCTGCAGGTCCACACCCCTCCTGGCTCAGCTCTGTGAGCAAGACAGAGTTCTGGGCATTAGGGCCCCAGGTCCGGTGGCAGATAACACCCCTGCAGGCTTCTCCTCTCCCTTCCCCTCCCACTGCTCCCCCAAAATCCACAGGCCCTGTGGTAGCACAGGAAGATTCTGCAGAGTTAAGTGAGGCTGTTAATATGAGAGCCTGCAGCCCTCTCTCCAGGGAAGGGTGCTGCTTGCCCCATCTGCAGAGAGTAGAATGTTGAAGCCATTTATACCAGACAGGCTCTGAAGATTCTCATCTGTCTGAGCTGAGAATGAAGGACTCCTGTAGGTAAAACTTGACCTGGCAGCCTAGTGTGGCAAACCTGGCTACTAAGGAGGCTGAGGTGGGAGGGTCAAAAGTTCCAAGCTAGCCTGGAATAAAATCCTGTCTCAGAACAAAATATCAAAAGCAAAACAACAGAAAAGAATGGACATGTAACTCAGTGGTAGAGTACTTAACGTCCCAACATATCCAAGCACTGATGCTGTCCCTAGCACCAGCGAAGGGGGTAAAAAGCTGAGCTGGTAACTGCAAGCAGGGTGGATGTGGGGCCTGGAGGAGGGCTGCGTGGAGAGCCCCAATGTGGTTAGCAGCCTGTCCTGTCCCAAGGGAAGCTAAAAGGCCACAGGGACCACCACTGAGCTCCTTCTTGTTTGGGGTCACTGCTTTAGTCTTTTTTTTTTTTTTTTTTTTTTCTTTCTTCTTCCAGGAGGAAGGGTCAGTGGTCAAGAGTCAGCTGGTGTCAGTGATGGCTGCTTTGGGTTTGTTTGGTTTTTTGTTGGTCTTCTTATTTTAATGTATTCTTTGTTTTTTTTTTTTTTTTAGGGAAGGGTCTACAGGGCTGGGTGTTCAGGTTCTCACTACTAGATAGGACTCGTAGTGATCCACCTGATTACAGCCTCCCAAGAGCTGGGATTACAGGTGTGCACCACCAGGCCTAGTCTCAAATCTCAGCATGCCCTGGGGCGGGGCCTGCTTGCAGATACTTTAATCCACTGAGCTATTTCACCGCCTCCTTGAATTGTTTTATTTATTTATTTTTGGCGGAACTGGGGATTGAATTCAGGTCCCTGCGCTTGCCAGGCAAGCGCTTATTCTGCTGAGCCATCTCCTTGGCCCCAAACTTTTTTTTTTTTGTTTTTGAATTGATTGTTAGGGGAGGTTTTTTTTTTGTGTTTCGTTGCTGAGGACTGAACCCTTGCTAGCAAGCATTCTACTACTGAGCCACATCCCCAACCCCCTCAGTGATGGTTGAGTTGAAACAACTGAGGGGAGGAGAGAGGATGTGTTCTGTATGGAGTCTGACGTCTCCTTCATGGCATGTAGAATATCCTGTGTGCGTGTTCCTGGCGGGACCTGAGGTCCGCGTGCCCCTGCTGCGTGTGTTACCTCAAATTCCCAGCTCTAAATGCTCAGGAGGAGCAGCTGCAGGTGTGGAACTCCTCTTGAGGGACTCGGTCAGTCAGAGCAGCTGAGTGTACAGTTGGAGGCTGGTGCCTGGTTGCTGTTCACCCCAGGCTCAGACCTCCAGCCTCCACAGCCCATCCTGGGTAAATGCCGGTCCATACCCAAGTCAGAGAGTCCGAGCTGGGATGCCGGTCCCTGAGGTCTGGCACTGAAGGTGACTACTGGAGCAGGATTACTTGTATTGTTACAGAATAATCACCTATGGATCGTTATATATCATCTCAGTTGCTCCTCATCTTTAAGTGTTTTGTCATCCTCACAGTTTAGCTCCTGCCTGCTACAGTGGGTAGGCAGTGTGTCCCACCCTCCTTGACTTCATTCTTCTTCTGTTTATTTCCTGAGACTCAGTCTCACTACTAGCCTAGTCTGCCCTTGAACTCACAGCGCTCATCCTGCCTGGCCCCCTGAGTGCTGGGATAACAGGTGTGTGCTATCCTGCCTGGCCTCGCTGTCCTTTCTTGTTTCGGATGGAATTGCATCTCTGCCCTTAGCTCACAGTCTGTTGTGTTCTTCATCTTAATTTTCATGAAAAGCTCTAGTTTGAAATGTGGAACGGATGTGAGATGAAAAAGGGAAATTGGAACTGGGGGACAGGTCAGAAAACTTGAATCCTTTGTGGTTAACTCCCAACTTTATTTTAAGTCTTTGAAAAATCAATCCTGCCATTTTGGGGGGCCTGCTCATTAGCTCAGGGGATTTAAGTGCCTGCTGAAACAAAGCAGTCAGGCTCAGGATGCTGTGGTTCGATCCCCTCATCCTCAAGCCAAACCAAACCTGCCCTAAAGGCGTCCTGAGCGCCACCCCGCCCCCAAAAAAATCCTTCTGAAAAATCAAAAGGCTGGCCAGATAGCTCAGCGGACTAAAGCACCTGCTTAGGCAGAGTGCAGTGGCTGGGGGTTCGATCCCCAGTGTGCCATGCCGTCCCCGATCCCAGGGCGCACTGAGACCGCGATTGAGACTGGGCATGGTGGTGCACGTCTGTAATCCCAGTGCTTGGGAGGCTGAAAACAGGAGGATCACTATGAGTCCAATCTAAGTAGTGAGACCCTGTAGACCCTGTACTAAATACATTTAAAGGGGCCAGAGAAATGGCTCAGTGGAATAAGCACTTCCCTGGCAAGTGCAAGGGCCTGAGTTCAATCCCTGGTTCCGCCAATAAATAAATAAATAAATACATTTAAAAAAGAAAATAGAGGTATTACTTTTCCACTTGGCAAAATATAAAACCGTTAGATGGTGAAAATTGCAGTGACATATACCCTGGGCAAGTGTGTAGTGAACTGCCAGGCCTAGAGAGAGGGGTTTGTGCACGCTTCCACACACACAGGGCTCTGGGGAGTCCAGGAAGCAGCTCACTGAGGAGAGGCTGGGCAGGACTGCCAGGAGCAGGCTCCTCATGGGACCTACAGTCCCTTCCTGGTGACAGCCGTGGCCTGGCACTGCATTCCGTGTCACCCAGCTCTTAACAGCTTCTGCCGGGGTAGATGCACTGTGGATTTTCCCTACCAAATATAGACTAATAAAAGCAACACAGCAAATTTTTGCTTATTCCCAAATTGGACAAGCTCGAGCGTCCAGAATTTCATAAACATCTGTATTGTGTTTTTATGAGAAGTAAGCAGGAAGTCCAGGATTTTGTTGTTTCTCACACACATGGTTCAGTCCACCTTCTCCCTACCTATTCTTTGAATGGAGCTGACTCCGGCCGGCTGCTGCTGGACCTCCCCTGCTCTGCCATCACACCAGGCAGAAGACACATGGGGGGGTCCTCTGTGAATAGGAACCATCACACTTAGGTGGACCTTCTGGCTCAGAGTAAGGCATCCAGAGAGTTCCAGCTAAGTTGTGTATTATGATTATGTGATTAGGGTTAGGCAAGAAACTACCTCCATCCAATCCCTGCAGTTGCTGGCCCATGTACATCCCTTGACGTGGTAGCGTCCTGTGCCACTCAAAGACCAGCTCTCCTTTAGTCCTCCTAGAAAATGAGCAGAGTTGCGCAAGTGAAATGATATCTGCTGTCTTCATGGAGTGTTCTGTGCCCACCGCGTCCCACTCACAGCTCATGTCTGGGTCCTGCTCCTTCTTCTAGGATTGTCTCAAGGCCTGCCAGGAGCAGATCGAGGCTGTGCTGCTCAACAGCCTGCAGCAGTTCCGTCAGGAGCAGCGTGAGGGATCCAAGTCAGAGGATGAACTGGACCAAGCCACCACACCCACAGACGTGCGGGACATCGACCTGTGAGGACACCAGGGGGACCCCACAGGAGAGGCGCGGTCACATCTTCTCTCGCCTCTTTTGGTTGTTTTGTTCTTTTGTGTTTTAGGATGAAACTTTAAAAAAAAATTTTTGTTTTGCCCCCACCTAGATCATATTTAAAGATCTTTTAGAAGTGAGAGAAAAAGGTCCTATGAAAACAGAATAATTAAAAGCATTTGGTGCCTATTCAAAGTACAACATAAGGGAATCCCTTGTATATTCGAAGTTACTGTCTGACTATGTAAAAGTAATAGTAAAATACTTATGAGAAAACCTACAGAGTAGCTAGAAGATATGTACACCTGCAATATGGGGACAAATTAGAGGAGACTCTGTTTTTGATGTTGTTGAACTAGCACATAGGCCCCTTTCAGAATAATTGCAAGAAATTGTATGTGCCATCTATGGCAATATTAGATTGCAAAGCAATGAACTCAAGAAGGAATTAGAAATGAGGAGGGACATGGTGGGGAGGGGGTATAAACATCTGTCCACGTGACAACCATTTGCATGCGGAAACACCTTGCTGCCAAGACCACGTGTTACTAAGCAGGAGCGTTGGTGAGTTTCTGCGTATGTACTTGTGCTGTCTACAGTAGCTGCTACCTAAAAGAAGTTGCATTTTGCCAGTGGGGCGATTGGCTCCCAGGCTTCACGTTTGGTGACTTCCTTCTTCTTCCAAACATGGTTCTTTACAGAAACTGCCGTATTGTTAACTAGTGGGGAAATTTAACTATGGGCCATGGCCAAAACTCATTGGTAGCAGACAGAATCCCAGGGTGGGACCTGTAATAGAAGCCTCTCTTCTGTTAAAGAGAGTGAGGTGACTTTGGAATCCTTGATCAAGAAAAAGGTTTTTTTGGTGCTGATTGGCATGTCTGGTCCACAGCTTAGCATTGTTATAAACCATTCCATTCGAAAAAGCACTTTGAAGAATTGTTCCCAAGGGGTAGATGGGATGGTTTATGCAAATCACGCTGAATACACCTTCCCTCTTCTCTTTGCCCTTCTGCTTCCTGCCCCCAGTCTGGTTTTGTTCACTTCCGGAATCTGATATTCTCTGGTACGGAGCTCTGGTATACCTACCAGGGCTCGAGAGACAGTCCTTGCCACTGTCCTTCCCGTCACGACATTCCTTGGAAACACCTCCAAGCAGCTCTGTTACCATTGCTACGGCATAGAAGGATCTGAATTCCCATCTGTAGCCTTCTCCTTTGGACATGAAAAGAAAAGTTATTGTTGGTGCAGAGATAGATGGCTGAACATCAGGGTGTGGCACTTTGTCCCCTTTTCTGTTTTTTTGTTAATTTTATTGCAAAGTTGTATTCAGTGTACTTGAATTTCCTTTTTCTCTCCACTTCTTAGAGGCATTCAGTTAGAGGTTGGAGCCACAACTTGTTTTTTTTTTTTTTCTTGCACAATGGTAATTGACAGGTAATGAAGCTATGTGTTAAAATATTTGCTTTTTTTAAGTAAAAAAAAAGAAAAATCAGAACAGTGCTACTTTGAAGAGTTATTTTATATGCAGATTCTGCCTGTTTCATAGTGTGAGGGTTGAAGATGGAGAAACATCTAAGGGTCTCTTATCTTTCATTTTATTTTGTTCAGTTTATTATTATTATTTTTTTGCGCTGCTAAGAAGCTAAGAACGTTCATCCTTATTCACATTAACAGTACCTAGCTGTAATGTTCACAGAGTGTGCTGCTATTTTATAAACATTTTTATAATATATTATTTTACCGCTTAAATTCAAGTTCTGAAGTAGATGGTTAAGATATGAGTTCTTTGTACTGGAAAAGCCCTTCCATAGTTCGTTTTCTTCTAGTAGCATATTCATGGTTTTTCTTAATTTTTTTTCTTTTGTTTTTTCTTTTTGTGTTTCTTCCTCTGATCACATTCTTCAAAGACAGAGCATTCTTTACCTCAGGTTTACTGGACAAAAATCAATACTACAGAGGACAGTGATTCACAGTTTTGTTTTCATAATACCTCACAACCATACAGTTTCCACTCTGGAGCTCACCAGCAGGGGGAGCAGGGCACTGCAGACGGCTGGCTGGACACCCTGTCCTGTGACAGGCAGGGGTGCTTGTCCCAGGGTTTCTCACCTAGGGACCTTTTCAGTCATGAAGGTTACCGGGCTCACATTTTCACTCTGGTATCTTCATCATGATGGAAAAAAATGCCCTGAGCCAGCGGCGCCTCCCACCCCTGCACACACAGGCACACGCAGATGTCCGACAGATACCCATGCAGAGGGTCCAAAAGTCATGATTCCCACAGGAGCACCAGGTACCAGGAGGCCGTGAGGAAGAGTCCTAGCAGGCTGTAGGGAGAGCACTGTCTTCACCTGCGGGGCCAGAGTTTTCTAATGCGTAGGGCTCCTTCATCTCCTCCATCTGCCCCTTTCCCTGGCACAGACACCTTGGGTTAGGATCAGCTCTGAGGCTTCATGAATCTGTGGGAAGATGGAGTCTGCGGCACTCCTGGTGTTGATTGTCCTGTCAGGTCCCCTTTGGGATGGTGCAGGAGGGTGCCATGGATGGAAGGAGAGGTGAGGGGGCGGATGAGTACAGGATGGAAGTTGAGGGCAGATGAGGAGTTGCCCCTATGGAAGGACACAGTTGCACAAGAACCAGTCTCTGACAGGAATGTAGGGTAACTAGAGCGACCCTAACATGCGAAGTTTTCCTACGGGGCAGTAGGTAGTGAATGTGGAAGTTTGGGAGAGGAAAGCTGAGCAGCCACTGGTTAGCCAGTGTTTTATCCAGAGCCCTCTAGGCACAGGACGCCTTTTGTGTCCCCAGGTAGTCCCACAGAACCAGGAAGGCCTGAACGTGGGAGTCCTCAGGAGATGGGGAGCCCATTGAGAAAAATGGGTGCACAGTACTGAACGGTGGCCAACTCATGAGCTTAAGCAAAAGCAGCAGATGCAAGAACCTGACAGACAGAGAAGCCCAGGTGCCTGCACTTGCTCACTGTCCACTTCTGCTGAAGCCAGCTGTGCTAGACCCCTCTTTCCTGTCTTGGGGCTGATGTGGCAATAGATGGGGGCTTTGTGGCTTTGCTGCCTGCTCCCTGCTCGTACAGAAGAAGGGAGCTTGGACCCCAAGAATGATGTCCTCTCCCTGGAGCTTGGCCTCTTTAGAAGCAATATTTGTCCCCAAAGGGCTCAGTTCTACCCATGAATTGGAACGTGCCCTTTTTTTTTTTTCCTTCCGTTGGCCCCTCCCCTTCTTACTAAAGGGATTCCGTTTTTATTCTGGTCTTTTTCTGTCTTGTTGTTCTGCTCCATCACTGGGAGCTGAGTCGTGTCCCCTGCCTGCCAAATTTTGATTCTTCTCCTGTTTTGACGAAATCCTTGGGGAAAGAAATCCTAGTATGCCAAAAATATACGCTAAGGACAAGAAAATTCCTTGCAGGTTCAGAAAAGCCAGGAAGCCTGCAGGAGGACCCTAAGGGCAGTTCTCTCAGCCACCAGACGTGGCTCTGTGAGGCTGCTTTGTGTTCACCTGCTCAGGAGCCCACTGAGCAGAATGGGGGGCCTTTGAGCCACATGTGCTCTTCTGCCTCCGATCAGGGTAGGGCACTGCTGCAGGGCAGGGTGGCAAGTCCTAGGCGGGAGCCTGCAGCTGTCCTGTAGTCTGGCCCCTCCGCAGAGGATCCTGGGGCCATTGGACCAACAGGTGAAAATTGGAGGACTTTGCAATCCAGCAGGATTGAAGGACTTTCCCCGAGAGAAGGGGATTTTCCTCTCCGTGGACCTTGGGGGACAGGGCTGGGAAAAGAAAGTGACTTGCACCTTATGTCCTGTAAATACTGATTTTCTAGTTCAAGAAGGTAATATTGATAGAATGGGAGTTGGAGAGAGGAAGGAGGAAGAAGTCTGAGCAAAAGCCAGTTGGCTTTGAAGCCAAAAGCATTCCTCTCGTTTATCCTTGAGACAGTCCAACCTGGGGAATAGCTTTAAAAGGGAAGTTAGTGCCAAGACAGTGAAGTCCCTGGAAGCCAACAAAGCTTAAATAGCTGTAGGCCAAGCGCAGCTTTTGTTGGTGGAGACTCGGAGCAGCTCTAGGGTGGAGCACATGGTCACCAGAGTCCACCAGAGCGCAGCAAGACCTGAGAAGACTCTTACTGCTTCCTCACTCGGTAACTTCTGACCATTCTGGGTGCTCCGTGACCCGGGACAGTGGCTTCCACCGGAACTGTTCTCCTATGTTAGTGTGCCTCTGCTTTTTTTTAAACTTGGCTGGGCTGCCAGACCCTGATATTGGCTCAGGTTTTAGGCAGCCATCCACAAATGCATGCACGGCGCACTGTCGCTGCAGCCGCCAGTCCTCCGCCTGCAGCCTGCTCTGGGCAATAAAGTGCCTTACTGACTGTAGCCATTTTAGTGTCCATTGTAGTTTGACAGGTACCTGTCCTTGGAAAGGAAGAGGTTTCTCTTTTATTTTTAATTGGTTGTAGTTCTTCCTGCTGGCTGATTCAAACGTCCCCCGCCAATCACCAGGCCGTTGGAGTTTTTCCATTATGTTCATTACCCGTATCATGTACCTCAGATCTCTCTTATCTCTCTCTCAGTTAGTTTCTCATCTTGGATTATTTTTTCTTCTATTTTTTTTTTTTTAATTTGCTTTAAAACAAGCGTGATGCCATATCTAGTCAATGTTATTCTCTCACAGCGTACTCTATAAGAGGTGCGGGTGTTTATTTGGTCGGGATGCTGGAGAGTGCTGCAGTAGCCTGATCGGTGTGAGCACGAAAGGTATTTGGGAGGTGTGGGGGAAACGCTGTGTTCGCTACGATGGTGATGCGAGGTCGTCAGCTGCCTTTGAAGAGGTTTCGTCTGGTCAGTGTTACATCATTTTTTAAAAGTAATAACCTGTACTGGCTAGTATGAAGGTGGATTTGAAGATGGATTTGAAAATGGTGTTGAATGCAGTTAGGTTATGCTATTTGGACAATAAACTCACCTTGACCTAAGTACCCTGGCCGTTGCTGACTTATTTGTGCACCTCGGAGTGGAACGCGCCTGTCTCACATCCTGGCGGAGATGCGTAGCAGTGTAAAATAGGT